ATAACTATAAAATGGGACTCCCACATTAAGGTAAACACTTTGGAACTCAAGCTCTAAATCTTCTCTCTTGCTCAAACCGACCCCTCGCAACTTTTTGCTAATTTGACTGCAGAGTCTTCGCCCCTGGGATAACTCCCGAGGTCTCTAACATCTTCTTTCTTTCTCTCAGCAAGTTGGATCCATTGGCCTCAGATGCTAGAAATTACGTTGTTGTCCTCAACTCCACATTTGGCAACAACAAAATCCATCTCTTTTAACGTATGGGTTGAGGCTATCCCAATAAGGCAATAGCCCATCTCTATTCCATGTTTGGATCTTTAGGTTGTGTTTGGTTTGAAGGAAAAAGTAGGGAAACAAAATGAAACCTTTACAAACCTTATATAAGTTTCCCTACCTTTTCCTTCAAACCAAACATAGCCTAAAATAGATCATCGGTCCTATTTAAGATAATCAAATTGAGCTCAATATCAGTTTGTACTCACAAGATATAAACTCTTTGGATGTTAATCCCAATGGGTCAGATTATGTCTAGAGCATGGTAGACCCAACTACAACTGAATAACTGATAAGAAAATATGCAATCTAATCCCAACCTAGACCCAAAAAGCATGAAAATTATTAATCAAGCCGAAAATTGCCATCTCAAATTTAGCTTGGTAAATTGTAATTTGACAATGAACCTGCTTAATAGAACCATTCATTTGATAATTTAACCTAGTAGACTATCAAATTGCTAATATGATAATGAATTTGTATTATTTTTAATTAAAAAATAACAACTTTTACTAGGGCAGAAAACTTCGGCCAGCCTAATTTGAGCTTTTGCATGGATTGGGCCAGTTTGAATATTAGGGATGCATGAGCCTGGGCTGACCATCGACTCAACCAAGTAAAACTCTTACATAATTGACGTAATGCATAGAAAAGAGTTTGGATCTTCTAACCACAATACATTGCTGGCCATGTGCATCTTGCCGCACATCAGGAACATCGGTTGTACTTTAAAAAGCTGGATGTATGCGGCCATCACTGTGTCGCGGTCAGCAGATCAGACTCCATAGAAAAGGGGTGAACAACTACAATTAGGGGAACTAACATGCTAACAGGTAAATACAATATTACCCTGTTTATGTAAAGTAAAAAATAGAATTTGAACTAACAAGCCATCTTCCGTATACACTTCATCTTCATATATGAAAAAAAAAGGATAGAAAAATATATTTGCTTACAAATACCATCAATTCAACCAAGTATTTGTATTTCTATCTCTACCTATATATTGTTTGCAAGGTTCAAGAAAAAAAAATGAAGTAATAATGATTTACCAAAATTTTTATATATATTATCTAGTTTTTTACATATAAAATAGTAGAAGAAATAATTTCCTTTTATTTTTTAGTTATAGATCTTTAAATTTATTCCTTTTTATTTAGCTTATATATTATGAGAAGTGCAAAAATCGACTGCTTAGCATGAGAACCAAATCCTATTGTTAGTTGTACAAAAATCGACTGCTTAACTCAATTGGTAAGTTCTTTGACGATTTGTAACCGAGACCTAGATCCTACTACCACCAATGTTGGGGGATGGGCTACCTTTGTTGTGTAGCCTTACAAAGCAAAAAAAAAAAATGTATTTATTGGAGAGGTTTAAGAATAGTCTTGTACTATTGGAGAATAAATATGGATTTTTTGAGAAACAATGAACAACCATATGGGTTTTAATTTTGACTTGTAAAATTTTTAATGATTTAACTTACAACTAAATATGCACATGTATGAGAAATGAGAGGAGGAAGCAATCTCATTGATAAATGTACAATGTTGTAAGTACCTTTAACATCTAACATTTTATATATGTACACACCATGCCCCTTTTATCCAATACCAAAACATGTTTTTTCTTCTTCTTCTTCTTTTCCTTCTTCTTCTTTAATTTCAATGGGCTATAGAATGGGGATAGCCCATCCCCCATACCATACTCATTAGGAATGGCAGTTTTTCCTATAAAACCAGGCCCCGCTCCCATTCGTAGCAGGTTTTCCCCAACCTTAAACAAGGACAGGAAAAATAATTTTACTCTGAATAGAGGACGGGACAGGGACAGGGTTTGCATATAATTCCTCAAACCCAATGTAAATTATTAAAATAACCCTTAATGCTAATTTTTAAAATACCATTGAATTTTCTCTCAAATTTCTAAACCTTATGATCTCATAATCCCATTTATAAAATACTCCCATATTCCCATAATATTTTTTCTAAAATAGCCTTAAAATTTTATGCTTGTTTAGGTAGTTGCCTTGGGGCAGGGAAAATTTAGGGATTCCCCGTGCCCATTGGTTTGAGGGTGCATGCCCCACCAATGTTGAGGTGAGTTCAGATTAGGGGATTTTAATTACAAAGCGGGGATGGGGATGGGGATGGTGTGCCCCACCCCGTTGCCATTCTTAATGCCCATAATCCCCCAACCCTATTGGCAATGGGATTAAATCTAAAGTCTCTACTGCAACAAGCTAGAGACCCTACCAACTAAGCAACCAGCTCACCATTAGTTGGTGAACTCTTTCATGTTTGACACATCATCATCATCCAAGCCTTATCCCAATTGTATGGAGCTGATTACATGAATTCTATTTTGCCATTTTGTTTTTGTTTAATACCATATACATCTCATGTTTAGCATATGATCGCGAAAAAAAAACAAACAGCAAAAGAACTCTCATTTTTGGATCCAAATCCAAATCTAAATCTGAATGATATGTTCCCATAATATGTTTGGTTCAGAAAGGAATCAGAATAGGGGTTGGAATAAGGTGGAATGGAATTTCATTTATAATTTGAGGGGRAAGGGAAAAGCCATTCCCTCGTATAAGAGAATGTCATTCCACCAGAAATGGAAATAGAATTTCAATTCCACCCAACCAAACAATTGGAATTGAAATGACCTATAAACCAAGCGGGTCCTTAATGTCATTTTACTTTAGTTTTTTCTTATTCCATGCAATACGAGGATATGAGGATGGCAACCGGAATAGATCCTAAGTCTATATTGCAACAAAGCAGTGAACATACCAATTGGGCCGCAACTGGTTGGCCTATTTTACTTGAATTGGATGCCCTAGTTGGCTTATTTTACTTGAATTGGGCCACAACTAGTTGGTCTATCTTACTTGGATTATCAATCCAAGTGTCCAAAAACAATGTAATACATACATATATATATATATATATATGGTAACTGTGAAGTATCTAATCTATGATCATCGAGCAGTATGAGACAAGTACAGAATAATTTGAGAAGTCTGGGGCAGCTATTTGTTATTATTAGAAACCCAGGTAGGATATTTGTAATTCTCCATTTTTTCTTTTTTATTGTTTTTTGGTTTCAGATTCATATGAAGAGGGCTTGAGAACGATAGGTATGCCAACCCCAACCCGACCAATTGAATATGGGGGTACGAACTGGATCAAACTAGTCCCATATAGTAGATCCATACTCAACAATGCCAAATATATGCAAATATTTTAATGATACAATGTAAAGGGTTGGTTCAAACAACCTAAGCTTTATTTGAGCTTAACCCAACATAACTCTAGTCGGACTCAAGTTTGGGCTGGGTTTGTCTGGCTTACGTGGGTTTGTTGGGTTTGACAGAATTTATTATATATATCTGTATACATTGCTGAAACATCTCCTAAAGTGTTTTATTATTGTTGAAACCTCCCCTAAATTGCAAATACCTTCCTATAACTCTTTGATACAGTTGCAAGTGGGCATCCTTTGTTAGAATCCTCTAACAAGAGGCACAAAAACGTTCAAAATACACATGTAGTTACTATTGGTTTCTATAAAAAAAATAAAAACTTTATGAACAACAGTAAAAATGAGAGTTTAAAGTTGCAGTTTACCTTTAAGTGATTGATATGAAGGAAAAATTTGAAAAATAAATTACTTTTGGAAAAGGGATTGAAAGTATTTGGGGTAGCGATTAAAATGAAGAGAAAATTTAGAAAATAAACATTTTAGTCAAAAGTAGCTATATGGATATTTTAGACATTTTTGTGTCTCTTGTTAGAAGATTATAATAGAGAGGGTCTTTTACAATTGTTTGAAAAAGTTCAAGAGAGATGATTGCAATTAGCAAACTTTAGGGAAGGTTTTGGCAACATTAAGAAACTCCAAAGAAGGCTTCAGCAATTGGCCTGTTATATTTTAATATGATTATCTTTTATTTGGCTATATGTCCCAATTTAAAAGTAGAATTGATTATAAATTTTATTTAAATGTGTTATATATAAATACATACACCATAAATATAAATTTCATTTAAGTGTGCTACATATATATACATGTATTTATTTGGATGGACTAGAATTGGATTAAACTAGACTTGGGTCAAGCTTGGGCTATCTGAGGCTTAAACCCAAGCCCAATTCAAGTTTAGGTCAAGTTTAAGTTTTCTAATCCAAATCAAACTCTGGCCCGAAAATTCAACCCCGACCCATGCAAAAACTCGGGTTGGATTGGATAAGGTTGGCGCTGCCCAAGATAATTGATCCTTTACGATGTGATTGGTTTGAAAGAGAAAATGTACGGAAAGATATCCTTACCTTTTTTATTTTTTAGCTAAAAAATTCAAACTTTTTTTAATTATAAAATCTAAACTCTTAGTTGAAATTAATATTCTAAATTTCTAATATCGGGGCAATATAAGATAAATGTTTTTTTTTTACTTCTGCCAAAATTTGGATGGATCCGACCCGAAGCCCGAGCACGAAACTGTGCAAAATCGGGCCCATGAGCCATGGACAGCTCTAATATCGGATGTATGAGGAGCAAATGGTAATTTCACGACAACATAGTAGAATCATGGCATGATGATATGGTCAAGACTCAAGAAGCGGATAGCCGCAGTGCCGCACCATTGCCTTACGGATAATAATTTTATCAGTGAGAGCAAACACAGGCAAAGAGCTTGTGCTTGTAAGGGCCACTAATGGCCGCTCTCAGCATTTCAACCGCGAACTTATTTGGCCGTACTATATCCAGCACCAGCAGAAGCACTTCGCGACCCAGAATTTTCTGTATTGGATGGGTATCTCTTCTTAACTCTTCTTACTCCTACTTCGATTACTCAAATCGAAAGTCGAATTTAGTGAACGTTCAATTAACATCCCTCTTTCTTTTCTTGTTTTCCTTTTTGTTCTGCGAAGGAAGGACCCGGAAGGTTTACTTGGACCTCCACAGACCGGCCACATCGCTCGAAGAGAGTTCCAGAGACGTCTCGAGCGGGATGCCGAAGCCCGGGAAGCCTTTCAACTTCAAATCCGCGAAGAACAAGAGCGTCGCCGAGCTCTTCGGCAGGTTATTTTACTTCATCCTAATTTTGTTGGCTTTTGTTCCTAATTTCGGTCAATTGGGATATATAGACTTTGTACTAATTCGTTTTCTGTACTTGTTTGATTTTGTTCTTTTCTTAGTCTCGAGTCCCGCCGGAGACGTCTGCGGAGCTGATCGAGTACTTTCTCGATACTGAAGCTCAGGAGCTTGAGTTCGAGGTTGCAAGGTTGAGGCATCAGTGAGTTCTTTGTTCCACTTCTCTGGAATACCCATTTTGACCTGTCATTAGTGTTGTTTTCTGCTCGATCAAAAACCAACTCCGTTCTATATTTGTCTCTTGAACCAGATATATTAGTCAATGGGTTTCTTCCACTCTAGTAGATCGATAATGCAATAAATCAATTTGTGACCATATTTTGTTTTACAGACGTGATCCATGCTTCCTAGAATTATAAATGGAAATTGGGTTTTCTTATTTTCAATTGTGCCTTCATCACACTTTCTGTTGATTCTTCTCACTTTCAAGTCCCTCCACTGATTATACCGCTGGTGTCGGTGTGTGGGTTAAGAAGATAGTAGGCCGATAATTCAATTCAGTACTCGGTAGTCATGAAGTTTGGTATTAGTTCTTGCAACTGCTAGCTTTTATTAGATAGCTCATAAATTAAATTAGTTTTTTTGTGATAGTTCAATGGGGAATTTAGCTAATGGTGATGCATGTAGGTTGAACTTTCTGTGTTGCAAACAATAACAATTAGGGTTGCAAACGGTATCCAATTGTCAGAACTCGACTTTGATTATATACACACACATAAGTATTTATATTGTATGTTTGTATCTATTAGTAAAGTTGATTTGAATGATGTGTTTTTACTAAAATTTCACAGGTTCAAGTTTCATATAAGTAATTTTCAGTTAATTTTGTTGATAAAATATAATATATGTCGTCTTAGTTCATTTTATTAATACTGTATAATATTTTGATTCTTTTTTGTTTGATTTATTTAAACTATTCAATATCTAATTACAATTCAAATCCCATTCAAATCTGGCATAATCTGATGGATGAGGTCCAATTTAAAATTGAATATAAACGAATCAATTTGGACCTACCCATTTCTGATCTGGTTCAATCCGTTTGCAGCCCTGAATCAAATATCACAAGGGGTATCCGACTTTCCTATTAGATGTTGTTTCTTAGGACATACTTGTCTTACATTTTTTTGTGTGTGTTGTAAGATATATTTGTCATTTTTTTTTTCGCTTTTCTCTTAAGTGGGTTTCCATGAAATTAATGCAACCAATTTTTGAAAGTCACCCACCCTGCTTCAAGTTAGAAGGTATGGTCGGTTGAGAAGGTGAGTTGAGTTCGATCAAACACAGCATTGCTTGCTGAAATCCTGCATTAGTGTTTGTAAAACTCACCATTTAAAGATACTCACTTCCATTGTCTGGCTCTGCAACAGTGTCTCAAGTGACTGAACTGATCATTTTTCTGATAACTTAATACCTTTCATTCAATGTATTAGTTCCATTTAGTGATTAGTTTAGATGTCTCTGATGACTGAACTGTTCCTGTGGTCCAAACTTCAATTAATTCTATTGCATGAAATGGTTTTAAAGATGTGTTGACCTGTGTATTAAACTATTCTTCTTTGGGCTAAATGAGAATTTATCATTTTTAGTTTTGATAGTTTGATTTTAGTTTCTAATTGATGATGACAATGAAATAGGTTTTATCTTGAATATAATAAAATGTTATTGCTGGTTAAAAGATGGAATAATATGCAGAATTTTGCAGATTAAATGAGGAATTTTTCTCACATCTGCAATCAGAAGTGGGACAACTAAGATTTGCTGTTACGAGAACAGAGGTTCTTTCCCACCTGAAAATTTGAAAATTAAACTCGGAATAAACAGAAGAAAGTTCTTTTTAATTATCACAATATCTTGGCAGGCTATGGAAGACAGATTAGTTGAGCTGGAAACAATGCAAAAGGTTCTGCTTGAAGCAACAGGTTGTTATTGCCCAAAGTGTTGGTGCTGAAGAATTTCTACTCTCCCATCACTTTTAAGATTCAATCCAATCTCTTCTTGATCTTTGCTGCAGAAGCTTATGATAAGATGCAAGTTGACCTCATCACAGCAAGGGAAAGCCTTACCAAAATATTGACATCAAAGAATATAAAAGCAACGGTATGATAGCAGATTATGGTCTTCAATTCTTAAAATATGATTTTTCATGAATCAAGCCAAAATCATCTGTTGCGTTAAACAGTTGTTGGAGATGGTTGAGCGTAACAAACTGAATAGATCCTTATTGACACTTCTTGATGAAAATATAGCAGGCGCACAAAAAAGCAACCAGGTGATAGAAGTTGCTGATGCCTTCGTTCTGTCCATTGAATTGTTTTTGTTAGGTCCTTGGGCTACTACTAGTTGTTTAATTTAGATCTCTCCTTCCCCTTTGTCTCTCCAGAAAGAAGCAGCAGCATTCATGGAGAAGGTCCGCTCAGCTGTTGTCAAGTATATGACAGTTTAGTGTTCGGGTGGGAGTTTGTAAATGCTTGCCTTCTATCTCTTCTTAGAGGATAATCCTTGAAGGGATTGGCTCCAAAATTGCCCCGTTGCTTCACATCATCTCAGATAGGTTGTATTTCTGTCTGTACCAAGGAATTAAAATCACTAAATGGGGTATTGTATTGAGATAAGATTCTTATTCAACAAAATATTAAGCCATTTATATGCCTCTTTCTTTAAGGTGAAATTGCTATGAATAAAAACATTTTGGTTTATGTTATTTCACCCCAACTTCACTCAGACCCGTGTGTCTATCATTCAATCAGACTGCTTTAAGTTTACTAGTAAGGGATTTTTTTTTCATTTTCTGATAAAAACAGAGTCTAATTGTTCATGGCGAGAGTGGATGAAGTGCCCATTGCCCAATATACATCTTGATGATTTGACCAAGGATTGGGTTCAGTTTTGTTAGACCAGTCAACTCCATCCTTAGAATATTGTTTAATGCAAAGTGAATGAAGAACTCAATTTGTAATTGGAAGGCCATGTGTACATACTCAGATAATTGGTAAAACAGTCATGGACTATTATAATAGTTAGGTACTTAGGTTGTGTTTGAGTTTAGTGGTGGATTTGCTTTTCCCTTTTTTCGCCTCTTTTAGGTCCAATCCAAAGTCAAGACACTGCTTCTATACTCTCTAATAAAAGGTTAATGTGTATGATAATCTATACTATATATAAAAGTGTGAATTCAGTGTGAAGCGTTTTTTGGACTAAAATTGCCTTCTATTTCTTTGTTTCAGAAAGGGTATAAAAATCATTTCATTATAGTTTTAGTGTTATCTTTAATGGCTACTATAATGGTCATATTTGTTTATTTAATCCATCTCTAATTGAAAGGATTGAAAATGTAATATCACTTACTACTTTCCACCTTAGTTAATCCCCTTCTCATTAAGTTTTATGCATAAGGTATTAAATCTCATTTTCTCTTATTAAATCATATATTTTTAAGTTATTTGTCACTAATAAGTGCTATTAATTAGATCCATATCAATATTTTTAGCAATATAAACCCATATATTTTAAAACTATTTCAAAAACAAAACTATTCTTTATTCAAGTGGTGGCTAAGCAAATCAACCATTTGAATCAAATTGATCAACCTATGAAGTCATAGTTAGGTAATAAAATTTTTAAAATAGAAATAAATATAAAAATTTACAATAAAAGTAGAAAAAATATACACATTTATGATATTTTTATTAATCAAATTAAAAACATAAGTGTAATAAACAAGAATTATTTTTATTGATAATGAAAATGAAATACATAACTTAGAAATGATCAAAAATGAAATATAAAAATTAATAATAAAATCAACTTTTGGGTTAAATGTGTTAATCTTTAATGTTATATATAAATAATAAAAATAAAAAAAAAACATAAATTTTGCAAAAAAAAAAAAACATTTAGGCACATGTATAATATCATATAAACAAAAAGTAAGTGTGACATATTAAAATTATTTTTACACACAAAAACACAAAAATTATAGGAAAACTGAACACATTTATAATTCTATATTTATACTATTATTAAAAATATGAATACGATTGTGGAACTTTCTTTTGACTAAAATCAAGGTTTTAAAAACTTATCCAAAAACGGAACCACTTTGGCTTTTGGTTTTTGAGTTAGCGGTTCAACTGTCCAGTTTGAGCGAGTTAAACCAATAAGATGTAAAATATAATATAACTTTCTTGTTTTTATCATTAGATTATGATCAGGTTAAAATCTACCGTATATATACATTATTATGAGAGGGAAGTGTGAAGACTTTGAGAAGGAGGTGGATGGTTAAAGTTGAGAAGTGAGGGGAGAAAAGAGAAGAAGAAGAAGAAGAAGATGATGATGAGAAGGAAGCATCGGCGAAGGTTGTTGTCACCATGTTCACCGATCACTGCAAAATCGTTTTGCCCTGAAAAGAAGAAGGAATTGGTGGCGGCGGTTATCTCTATGTTCTTCATGACCGCTGCTACAATACCATTTGCCATCTTCTTACATATATCTCATCTCTTTAAATCTCTCTCAAATCCTAGATCGTTTGCTTCATTGGTGTACCTCGAATTTTAATATAAGATCGGTGTTTAATCTCTCATCTCTTGCATTGATTTTTAGATTTCTTAATTGGAGTTGTATTTTTTGTGTTACAGATTATAAAGAATAACATAAATGAGAAAAATCAAAACCAAAATGAAAAAACTAACCCTAACTAATTTTGGACATTGGGAATAATCGAACAAGATTATGAGATGAATTTTTTTTTCAATTTTTTATTTTCTAATTTCTTTTTTAAAATAAATATAAAATTTGGAATTAGTTTAAAAGCAACCCAAGAATCGTTAATCCGGTCGAACATTTTAACGATTAAATTATCCGGGTTAGCGGTTCTTTGACCATTTCAAAGAACATGAAATTAACAATCCAATTCTTGTTTATGTTCAATTTTTGTGTTTATGTTCTTTGAACATGAAGTTGATATTAGAACAGTGCTCTCAAGGGGCCCCTAGACTGTGGTCGGCTTCATTTTGGTTCTCAAAGGTTGGGAAGCAAATACGCCTATGGATTCGATGAACTTTCCAAAGTCTTTATTCACAATCCAATTCCACAAACTTCCAATGGAGTTTGAATTGATCCGATAGGCAAAAAGGTAGCAAAGAAGGTGGGACTGCTAGTCAAAGACTATTGTTGACAACACAAAATTTTGGGTGAACTTTCTCTCTTATAGAGTGGAGATTGACCTAAAAAAAGCCATTGAAAAGAAGGGTATTGGTATTTGGAAGGGATGGTGCGAGGATGTGGGCTGAGATAAGATATGAGAGGTTACCCATTTTCTGTTATTACTGTGGTTGTATTGGCTACGATTATAAACATTATGCAAATTTGGTGGATCAAAAAACACAGAGGACAGGTGTAGGAGTTGGATTTTGAGTGGGGTGCTTGGCTTCGAGCTCCAACAGGGTTGAACAGGAGGAATAAAGAAGGGGAAGGAAAGCAAGTCACAAAAGGATAAGGATCAGTTTGGTCATGACCATGAGAGAGCGAGTGAAAGTGTTGGGAAACAAACATGAGAGAATAGTAGACCTAGCAAAAAGTTGACTTAACCCGTGAACCCGACCCAACCCAATCCGAAAAAATAGGGTTAGGGTCTCATATTTAATTAATCGAATGTGAGAATGACCCGAATAAAAAAAAGTTGGGTCATGGGTCAACCTGTTGACCCGATTATCAAGTCTAATTGAGATTATTTATGCATTATTAGAAGTTTTCATTCTAATTTTTTTCTATTTAGACTTTACTTTTTATTGTTTTCTCTTTAAATTGTTAAATGTTCAAAATTTTTATTTTATATTTGGAATTTTAAGGTTAATTCTTTTAATTTTGATAATTTTTCATGTGATTTTTCTTTATTTTTTTAATTTCAATTATTTTTTGGGATGACCCGAATTGACCCATGGGTCAACCCTAACCCGAGCATTTAAGATTAGGGTCCAGTATTTGACAACCCGAACTAAAATTTAACCCAACCCGAATCAACCCAAAGTACCTTAACCCAACCCAAAACTGACCCACCCAACCCAATTGCCAGGTCTAGAGAATAGCAATGTTCATAGCTCACAAGCAAACGGGAGAAAGGAGGTGGCCATAATCCAGCTGGAGAAAGAGAGGATGGAAATAGTAGGTTTGATTAAAGGGGCAATTATGAAAGTGTCGAATTTCATAATGGATATGGATTCGGAATTGCTCTACGAGAGCCAATAATCCTAGAGGCGATAAATGAGATTGATATGAAACTTGAAGACCCACTGATAATGAAGGGAAAGAAAAGGAAACTACACGATTCCCAAGGCAACACAAATATGGTACACATTGGTAAGCCTAAGAAGAGAATTTGTAGGGAATCTTTAATTAAAGTAGCCATTGGAATTGGAGAGATGGAAGCGGGCCAAGGGTTGTTGTTCCCAAAGCTTAATGCTGGCCTTAGGTTGTAGGGTATAAAGGATGGGACTGTTAGAATATCCAATGACTAAAAAAAATTCAAAGCATGAAGCAGAAACTAGTGAAGTAAAGCAGGGTGATTGGGTTAAACCTGGGCCCCATATTCAAAACTTCACAGAGATAGAAAAATTCATAAAAAGGAAATTAGCAGTGCAAAGTTCTGAAGGAGGGATAGTCTTTAGGAATGCTTCATTGTTGGGTTTGGTGGGTATTGACCCAAATCAACCCCACAATGAGCCATGAAACACTTAATTTGGAACTATAGGGGTTTGGGGGGCTTCCTTACAGTTCGAGAGCTACAACAGCTCTCCAGGAAGTGTCAAGCTGATATCATATTTTTGACAGAAACAAAGGTGGGAAAGAAAAGATGTAGCAAAGTGGCAAGAAGGCTTGGTTTTCAAAAATTTATTTTGGTGGATGTGGTGGAACGTAGTGGAGGTCTTTTTCGGTTTTTCTTGCTTGGAGGGACTAGATTGATATTGAAGATACTACATGCATGCGGATAAACACATGATTGTTGTGATGGTAAAAAATTATCATTCTAATCAATAATGGTTACCGACGGGAGTTTATGGTAGCTCAACTCACAAAAAGAAGCACAAGCTATGGGAGCTGTTTGAAAGGGGTGACTGAAAATCATGGGGGTCCTTGGTTGTGCTACGGAGATTTCAAGGCCATCATGGATGAATCAAAGAAGGGTGGAGGTAGGAGGAAGGGGTCTAGCAGTGTCAGAGCTTTTAGAAGAATTGTTAACACTTGTGGGTTTGTCGACCTCGGGTTTAAGGGTAATAAATTTACTTGGTTGAGTAAACAGTCGGGTCTCGCAAACGTTCAAGAACAACTTGGGCAGGGCCATGGCAAATAGAGATTGGAGAAGTATGTTTGCTCGCGCTAAAGTTTCTCACTTGATCACTGCCTCATCATATCATAACTTGCTATTGTTGAACTTAGTGGGGGAGCCTTACCCCTGGGCAAGAAGGTTTAGATATGAATCTATGTGGATAAGACATGCAGATTTTGAAGGAGTTGTGAAAGAAAATTGGAGGGGAGAGGTAGGTGTGCTCGAGGATGTTGCTAGCTCCCATTTTTTGCATTAAGATTAAACGTCTTGGATAGGCTCTTAGTAAGTGGAATGAGCAAAAATTTGGCAATATTTTTCAAACCAGTGTTTTTGAATCGTTGTTGATCCAGACGGTTGGACCATTCAACACAGAAACCGCCCATGCAATCGGTT